GTCGCATTCAGGAAGCTGTTAATTGAGAAATGAGTCAAAGTTTGGAGGCTCAGGGCCCTGCCCTTGGCGCAGGGGACGTGTGAGTGTGGGGGTGACATGACCTAGTGTGGTTGGGGTGGCCCCATAGCCCAGAGAAAGGGCAGGAGCCTGCAGACACGCTCCCCATAAACTCACCTTCTGCTTGCCCACCTTAAAGGACATCTTACCCAGGTTACAGTCCGATTTGAAGGGGAAAAGGTGCTCAACAGTCCCTGGGGACGGCACCAGTGCTTTCTCAGCTGTAAGCTGGCAGTTAGGGCAAGAGAGCTTGTGCTGGGCAAAAGGAGCCAGAGGTGTGTGTCTGCAGGAGGTAGGAGAGTGTCTGCGGAGGGCTGGCTGGAAGCGGAGGTGTGCGCTTGGTAGGTTTGGGGGCCGCTCGGCATTAGGTGCTGCACAAACCCGCAGAGCCCTGGCTCAGAATTGGTTGAACTCCACAGTGCAACTGTAATGCAAACAGTAAATAAAATGTGGTTAATCTTTCTTTCGTGGGCGTATAAAGCGCTTACCTCGCCTTCCCCCCGTAAGATGTTTTCTCCTTTGTTTCCTGTTTTTGTAGTGCTTAAAGAGGAGAGGGGAGGGAAAAAAAAAAGCCAACAACCCACCCTCTTTTTTCTTTTCTTTTTCTTCTTGTCCTTCTGTTTGTGTCAAGGTCTCAAAAGGAAACATTTTGCCTTCCATCTTTGCCTTTGCTGCCCCAGGCATGTGCCTTCCGCCTGCATGGGGAACCTGCTGTCTCCCTGGTTTGGGGGGACCTGCTTCCAGGGTTGAAAAAGAAAGTTGCTCCAGTGCAAGGCTGATGTATTGCTTTTATTTATTAGGGTAAAGATAGATTGCTGGGATTGGAGCTCAGGTCAGAAGGCAACAGCCAAAGAAATGGACTAATTTGCAGGTTATCACCATGTTTGCCACCTCTTTGTGTGGGACATGGTTGGTTGAGGCCAGGTACATCAGAGCTTGCTTGGGGATGCCTCAGCTGCCTGTCCTCAGCTGGAGGTGCCACCAATGGAAAAGGGCTTGGGGATTTGTTTCAAGGGATGGAGATAGACTTCCCTCTGACCTAGCTTGCAGCGTGGTTTTGAGAAATTGGGAGAAAATCTCTCCACATTCTGAAGATCCTTGGTGGTTTTCAACATTCAGAGGGAGAAAACGTTTTGTGGTGCTGAGACCTGCAGGAAAACACTGGGGATCCTCCTGCAGGCATGTAGGAGCAGCACCCAGCACTGGCTGTGGAGCGGTGCCCGTTTGGCAAATCAGGGGGACAGGGACTGTGCTGCTGAGGCCATCTGTTCTTGGTGGGTTTGGGCTTGCTTTCTTGGCAGCACCTTGGATAAGGCCGGCTCAGGTGCTTTCTGGAGTATGGGAAAGAGAAGCGAACACTTGGTAGGAGCACAGGAGGAGATGAATCTCAAGTCTGTACCAGAAACTCTGATCTTCTGCCAGCACTGGCTGCCAGCCCCAGTGCTGAGATGGCCTGTGCGCTTTTCCTACCTGTCCCAGCTGATTGCTTCTGTGATTCAAAAGCTTTAGGTCTCTAGAGGGAAAAGCCACCAGCTTTTCTTTGCTAGACAGCCTTGACACCAGAGATGCCTCCCTATTTGAAACAAGTCCCATCTCGCATCCCTGTGCTGCCATCTGTGCCAGGGATGTTTTGCTGGGACCTATGGAGCCCCACTGGTGGAGAGGCTGGGGTCGGCTCCACTGCCCCGCTCCTGGCTTGAACTGCTGGAGGTTGTTTTACTCTGAAACAGGTTTGGTAACTTGTGACGGGCTGGATTTTTACAGGCTTACTTATTTTCCAGATGACTTGTTTATGAGGAGCGTGGCACGCAGCGCACCAGAGGCATTGTGAGCACAAGTGCCCAAGTGCTCGAGCGTTAATGTAGCTCTCATGACTGTAGATGGTGTGGGCTGGTGTCTGGCAGGCGTTCCCAGTGGCACTCTTTGAACACGCTTGGTCCCCAGATGACTTTTGCAGTAGGTCCTGTGAAGCTGGAGGTGTGCAAGTTCTCTCTGTGCCTCCATCTGAGCCTCTAACAGCACCCCAGAGCTGAACTGCCAGCCCAACCTCAGGGTTAGGTCACCTAACCCAGGTTTTGCCTATGCCCTGGTTCCTGCTCAGGAGCCTCAGGAGACCAGCGCCAGGCTCCTAAATGTGACTGCTCATTGTGCCCTGGGATGCTGTCAGTCGGTCAAGCCGCTGTGATGAGTAATGACTTCTTGAGCCTTGGGCAGTGGCAGAAATCCCAGCACCCACCTAGCCTCGTGTTCTAGCTCCGTGCCATTCATCATCATCGATCTGTCAGGCTTCACTGTGCTGTGGTGTTGGGGGCAGTGGGGGATGTCAGTTCAGACTGATTGCCTGTGCCTTCAGTTTGAGAGGTCTCAGACCCATCTGGTTTTGCTGACCAGGTCTCTGGCTGGACTGGGACAGTCTTCTGCCTCCTCGGGATTGGATTAAGGGCTTTTCCCCACTGCTTTCTTTCTAAGCTTGAGCATTTTCTTTGCCCTTAGCCCATCAGGTTGCCAGTGGTGCTTGCTCTAGGCCTGCTGCTGAAAGTCTTCTGTATAGAGTTAATCTGGGAAGTGACAGCGGAGATGGAGGATGCTGGGAGGCAGCCTGGTGGGTTTGGGTGGTAAGGAGGAGGCTTGGATGGAGGGGACAGGCTTGTTAAAGAAGAGGAGTAGGACAGGATCTGCAGCAGAGAATATGCTTTTACCATGGGATAAACGCTATGTGGATGGGTGCTGGTGAAGAGTGAGTTGGAAGGAGGAGAGAAAGAGAGGTTCATCAGAAGACCTTGAGCTGTTTTGCAAGGAGCTGACAAATCATAGCCCAGGCTTACCCCTGCAGTATATAGGGGTTGGATGTACTTTGCATGTGGGGATCTCCAGCCAGACAGCCCAGAGCTTTCTGCCTTGAAGCCCTCCCTCAGTGGTGGCTTTGAATGAGCTCCTGCGACAGGGTTGTCTGGGTCTGGTCTCTGAACCAGGAGGTGTAAGCTCAGCTTTGGCTGGTGATGAGGGCATAAGAAACTTAGCCCAGACCCTTGTTTGATCTAAATCCAACCCGTGGTATTTATGTGGCTCATGTGGCTGCTGGCCACATGAGCTGGCCTCATGTGGCTGTGGTATTCGTGTGGCTGCTGGCATGGAGGTGTGCAGCCTGCTGCTGTCCTCAAGCCTGCGAGCATGGCGGAGAAGTAGCAAAGACATGGACTGCAGTGTGACACCCTGGACTTTCCTCCACCCCTCAACCTCGTGCCTCGCACGTGGGAGCCTGGGTGAGCCCTTCGAGGAACGCAGGAGTCCTTCCCTTCTCCTCTCCTCGCTCCAGCAAAGCACTGTCCTCGAGCTCTTCTGTGCGCTTGGCCAAGCCTGGTCCTGCCGGAGGGGGGTCCATAGCCTCTGTGCTGCTCTGGTCTTTGCCTCTGGAGCCGAGGAGTTGCCTCTGTCCCCAACTGAGAGGGGGGGGAAGTAGAAGGGGGGCCTGGTGGAGGGGGTGGGAGGAGAAGACAGATTTCCATGTCTCACAAAGGGCACAAGCGATCAGATTCATGCAACTGCCCAAGAATAAAGAGGCTCTTACAGTGCTGGCTGCCCTGACCTCTCTCCTCTCTGCTCCAGAGGACAGCGTGTGACCACACAGGGATTTCTTAGCTGTGCTTCAGAGGGAGGCAGCGGGTTTTGTATCCCCAGCTTGCCTTGCAGCATATTGGCCTATTTTTTGCTCGTTACCTATCTGTTTACTGGAAATCTTGGAGCATGGTGGTAATTTCTTCCTTTCTTCTCTTTAATTTCGTTTAATTGTTTGGGTTTTGTTTTTTTTTTTCCTTTTTCCAATCTGACACTGAAATGGGGCTGAGAGCAGCAGTGCTTCCAGAGCAGGGACAAAAGTAACCAGGAAACACAGGGCAAGAGAGGAGGGATCGACACCGAAACAATGAAATAGCCAAGCAAGGAAAGACTGAATACTCAATAGCACAAGCCTTTGCAGAAATGCCTGGCTAGTGCAGCATTTTATAATCAGCTTCTGTGCTGGGCTGGCCTGCAACTGTAGTGTGATGGGGGAGGAATGCTTTGAATTAGCTGGATGCCAGAATTAATTCTGTCAGAATTCAAACGTACATGTATGTACGGATTTATAAATAAACACTTGGAGCCAGATTCTTGTTTGCCACGCAGGCTCTGGGGCACAATCCGGTCTGGCTTGGCTCGTTTTCTTTAAAAAGCTATAAAATGCTATGGCTCTGGGTTAGGTTCTGGTGACTTTGTCAACTTTCTGTGTTTATCAGCAGCCCGTAGCCTCAGGAGATGCTGGTTTGGTTGAAGTAATGGGGATGGCTGGGAGGAGTCAGGGCTGCTGAGCTTGCCTGTGGTGGTAGCCAGTTTTCTGCAATGAACTGATAGAGAAGATGGGGCAGATGCTGGGGGACCAGTGGGGAGGTGTGGAATGATGTCCTGCCCTTCTCTTTCCTCCATGGAAAAAGGATTGATAGAGGCAGCCACCCTTCCTGTATCCAGAGCTACAGCCAGCACACTTGGGAATGGGAGGAAGAGAAGCCTGGTCCCAGATACGGAGGGAGGGGTGGTTGTTTACAGGCACGAGACTCTGGATGCACGCAAGAGTTTTTACATATGTCCCCCAGATGAACTCAGGAAAGAGGTTCCCAGTCCTGAATCCTTTCTGATAAGGACAGCTTCGGCACGTTCTTGCCAGGGGATCGTGGTTGTCCCTCTTCTGTCTTGTGATTCGCTTGTGATGGTAACATGAGCAAAGTTTCCGGCTCAGAGCAGTCTCCTGCCACTTCACAGTGGTGCCGTCTGCGTAACACGCACTCAAAGTCATCTGCTGGGATGATGTACCAGAACTGTAAAAAAAACCCAACCTGAAATCAACATGAATCGATTTAATTTGTGTTCCTTCTCTTCCCCCTGCCTGTCCTTCCTCAGTTCCTTGGTGTGTGGATGCTCTGGGGGAGCCGTCTCCAGAGCAGGCTGGGAAGAGCTGAGCTGCGGATGGCTCCAGATGAGGCAGTTGGCAGGGAGTGATGTTCCGGATGGCTGTGTCTCTCTGAAATATGAGTAAACGTTGTCAGACTCTGATCTGGGGCTTGGGGAGGTCTGAGCTGTCCTTTCTCCCTGCTACCCGTCTCTCCCCATGTGGGATCCCCCATTAGCTCAGCATCACCCAGTTTCCTCTCCCTTACTGGGTGACCTGGAAGCTTCATTCTAGGGCTTTGGAGAAAGGGAGGGAAAATCCCTCATATCCTAATGGAGGCAGTGTTTTCTCTTGCTGTACAGCATCTTAATCCAAACCCTCATTTGAGCCAGTTATTGTGTGGCTTTAAAACCCCGTCCCCTGGAAACTAGTCTCCCGCCCCTTTCCCTCCCAGTCGATCCCGGTCGGTGGAGCCGTGCTCCGGGGTTTGGTGCTTGGCCACACGCAGACAGAGATCGATCGCGCTGGGGGGCGGGTTGATATTTCTGTGGCAATGGTTTTTATGGCTGGTTGCGGTTGTTGTTGGAGTTGAGGGGGTTGGCGTGCGCTCTAACGGGCTTGTGCGTGTGGCAGGGGGGGAGAGGGTAACGTGATCGCGTCCTTCTGCTCATTATCCTCTTGTTAGCAGCGGGGGCTGCATCCCTCTCCCCATCCGAATCCATGCGGAACTGCGGTGGGATCTGTTTTTCCCTGCAGGTGAACTCCTCTGTGCTCAGACAAAGGGCTGGGGGGTGCCGGTGCCTCCCTTTGTTCTCCTCCTGTCCTGGTGCACCCGCCTCCAACGGCAAAAAGCCCTTTGAAGCGCGCCTCTCAAATGGATGGAGCGGAATAAATGCGCTGTGAGGTCTCTGTCCCCCTCACAGACACTTTGGGGATGGGAAAGGGGGGCACTCCCCCTTCCCTCGGGTATTGTACTAGTGATGGGGGTGGCCAGATCCGAGGGGGAATTACAGCGCTTTCCTGACACAGCTGCACCGTTGTGGCTGAGGCCCATGAGCCCTCTTTGGGTCAGAGGTGGATTGGTTGTAGGGGATGGGATGTATGGAATGGAAGCACATCTTAGTCTTGTTTTCTTGCCTCTGCCTGCTGGCAGCCTACATGATAGGGCATCCAGGCAGGGGACTAGAAATAATGCCTTGTGTGTTGTGCAAAGACCACCCCTTGCCAAGTGCATCCTGAGAGCGTGAGCCCAACAGGAAAAGCCATGGTCTGTCCTCCTGCCAAGGATTTTGTAGCATTTTACTTGTAACAGGGGCAAAAAAAGTCAGTTTAATCCCTGAAACAACCTAATATCTGGGTAGGGAAGTCAGGGTGCTACCCTAAACTAGAGATAAGTGGAGGTGGAGGGACCTGCTAGGGAGTCAGAAAGTCTGCGACAGTGTAGGGATGCAATCCTGGAGACTCAAGCTTTTTTTGCTGGTGGTGATACCTTGCTGATCACAGACCATGCTAGCTGCCCCAAATCCAGGCCCTTCCTCCCCTGGTCCTTCTCAAGGCTGATTCCTGGCTACTGCCATCATCTGTGAACAAACATGGTACTAATCTCCATTTATCAAAGTGGCTTTGCAGCCATCTGATAATACCAAGGTGATGAGCGAAAGCTAAACCTTCTTCTGCATGTTAAAACTGCCCTCTGGAACCTTCCTCAGGAAATGCTCCTCCTTCCCAAAACTCAAGACCTAGCTTTGCAGGAGAGAGAGAAACATAGGAGGTGTCCAAAAAGACAATCTTCAAGCACAAGCTGCACCCAGGAACTGTAGCCACAGACATTTGAGGAAAACCTTGTGCTTCCCGAAAGGTGGAGGCTCAGAATGTCTGTTGGCTTGGGTGGAGGAAAGCAGGGGAGTGGGAACCCATGTGGCAACAATCCCAGGCCCAGGCATGTCCCATCCATGGGTGATCATCCTGAATCCCAGTCCTGCTGGCTGCTTTGCATCTGTGAAACCCATCTTTTGTGCTGCCTGGTGGAGGGAGCAGGAGTTAATGTTTTGAAGGTCAAGCAGAAATCGAGAGCTGGCCCCAAGGCACAGCTGTGCTAGCTTGCAGGTAAGGAGAAGCCACAATAACTGACCTCGCAGCCAGGTTTCTTTGTGGGTGCAAGCTCACCAGGGGATGAGGAGCCACTGTTGTTGGTCCTTCTGCTTTAGAAAATGGCAGTGTGGTCACAGCTAGATATGGCTTCTCTGGTCGTACCCTGCATGCTGGCGCTGCATCCCCAATCCTTCTGCAGCTCTCGGCACATCCCATAATGTCTGTGCCTCCACCGCATCCTCCTTAAAAGAGGATAATGAAACTGGAAGGGGGAAGCAGTGCACGCTGGAGGCACCTTGGTCTGCCAGGCTTGATAAAGCACTACTGATCTGCTGGAGACCTGGAGATTTTTGAAGCAGGAGATGAAATGCCAGGTGGGAGGAGAGGGCATCTGGAGAAAGCTGCCTCATGTGGGGATGGAAACTGAGCCTCAGATCTGGCTCACATGAATTGGCAGGACCGGAGTTGAGCAGAGCAGCTCCCCTGGCTCCCAGGGAGGATGGAGCTGACTGGGGTCTGAGCTGTCGAGCTCCGATCGCAGAGTCAAACCTGGAAGATAAATGATACTTCAGGGGCCTGAGATCAATAATGTCAAAGGCTGGCCCGTAATCGGGGGAGATTAAAAACCAATGACAGGCCTCCTCACAGGGCCGGAAGTCAGCACATTGAAGGAGAGAAGCAGGGTTTGCTCCTTTACAGTTATTCCCTGGCAGTACCCGTATCCAAAACCCGCCTTCCTGGGCTGCCCCCTGCAACATCAGCAATTCCCCCCTCAATCAATATCGACCAGATCCCTCAGGTCCTCTATGGCCAGCCCCTCTTCACTGGTCCTTGTGCAGCTGGTCCAGAGCACTCTTGCCCTTGGGACAGTGCTGAGGTGAAGACAAAAGCAATGCAGCCCAGCACTGGCCACCAGCTGCTTTCACTGCTGCGGGATGTGCAGGGGCCATGGGAGGCAGAGGAGAGGAGGAGAGACTGAAGCAGGAAGCCACATCAATGCTGTGGGTACCATGATGTGCTGCGTGTTGTAAAGAACACATAAGGAGTTTGGGAAATGCGGGCTGCAGATGGCTCTTGACTTTGTCCTAGTATGTTGGGTTTACCTGTATTTGTCCACTGACGGGTGCACGAGTGCTGGGCAGGAGATAAGAGGATGTGTGGTTGTACCTGTTTTGGGGGGCACTGGTGTTGGAGCTTGTCACAGAGGTGACTTCTCCCTTGGGTGGGCACTGGGCAGGGAACTGTGATTCTGTGTTCAGCTCAAGTGTGCTTCCCCTGATCAGCAGCAGCCACAGTCTGGCTGAGGTGGAGAAGATGGAATTGATTTATTTGGAGGAACAAATTAAGATAAACTTGAGTCCCTTTTGTCTGTGCACCCTTAAAGGAGTGCATGCTCCGCTGCAGCTGCCCAGGGCAGCACTGGGGCTCCCGTGAAGGGCACTGGGAAATAGGATGTTGCCTCTCTTTCCTGAGCGCAAGGGTGATTAAAGGAGAAGGGGCTGTGCCATCTCCTGCTGCTGCCCCTCTGCACACACGGGGAGCTGGAGATGTGGCTTGCCTTTGCCCCGGGCTCCTCTTCCCCTTCCTCCCTGCTCCCCCCGCCCTTCCCTGCCAGGAAGCCTGGCCTTTGTGTGAAGTGATGCCTCCTGACATCAGCCGGGCATCACAATTTCCTCTGCAGCCGGGAGGGTGAGCAGGAAGGATAGGGGTGCTGTGTTCCCCAAGGGGTGTCAAACAGTCCTGGCCTTGCTGGAGCATGGAGAGGCTGCATGTCCAGATGAGATGCTCTGGGGAGGTAGTAGTCCCACCAGTGTGGTGGTTTGGCAGAGCTTTGCCTGCTGTGCTGGTCTGCCTGAAAGCACCATGACTGGTTTGTTTCTTGCTGCCTGTGACTGATGGCTTCGGTGGCATCTTTATTGGACACCTCTAGGGACACAGTGTTGGGCTCTATATTGCTGAAGCTTGGGCAGTGCTGGCTGTGGGGTCTTGCTCCAGAGTCAATGGCCTAGAAGCGGAGAGGCTCACAGCAAGGCAGGAGCAGGGCTGACATCTCCTACACCTCAGCCCTGGGAGCATCTTGCTGTCCGTGTAGACCCATCACTTTGGCAAGGGCAGGGCGCAGCTCAGCCGCGAGGGGCTTTGCGGGGTCCAGGCTCTTGGCTGCTCCTCGGAAAGGGGCTAATGCAACACATGGGAATTGGCCAAGTGCCTGCTAACAAGAAGCCGTGGCTGGCACCTTGCCAGGAGCTTGGGGCCTTTCATCTCTTTAATTCGAGATGTGTTTATGGATGGATGGCCTTTTGCATCTGGCTGGCTGGAAACTACAGGTCCCAGCATGCTCCCTCCTGTGTCACCTGGCTGCTGAGTTCCAGCAGGAGTGCGGGGCCACGGGAATCATAGTCTCGGTGCTCACTGCTGTGAGGCTGTGCTGCTCTGGAGAAGGGTTCTGGTTCAGCATGGCTGGGCAGAGCCAGGCTGCAAGACACAGGGCTGGTCTCTGCCTCCTGCTTTCATATCCTTCCAACCACCCACTTGCTTGATGCCAGACCAGGTTGGCCTTTTCATGTCACCAGGCTGGGGGAGCGGATCTGGTCCTATTCTTACTCGTTTGCAATGTAAATATTTTGGTCCCGAGTACGTTGCTGGGAGCCGTGTGTCACATTGAGGAGCATGATTCATTCATGCTGTTGCTGCTCGGAGCACAATGAGGCAGCCTTGGGACCGGTCCCAAAGATTTCCTGTGATCGCGGCTGGTGGGGAATTCGGGACGTCACGTTTGAGTAAGTTGGAGCCCTCTCCGCGTAATTCTTGCAAGCCACGCGTACTGTGCCATGCCCAGCGTGCCCAGCGTGGCATGATTACGTGTTCAGGACTTGCCATCCCCAAAATGTGGTGGGTACAGGTGGCTTGCATTTCCAGAGAGGGAAAGAATGGAGAATGAAGCTGAGCTCGGGCTCTTGCCTTCCCCAGCTGCTGGTATGTGGGGATGGTGGCAGGGCGTAAGCCTTTGTACCTGGTTCCAGCCAGCCTAACAAACAAAGGTGCAAAGCAGTTCAAGTTCAAACCCTACTGCACATCAAGTCTCAGAAGAAGCTCTCACAGAGTTTCCCTGGTGGGGCCAGCACCACATGAGCATGTGTTTTAGAGGGACATGGGACAACCCAAGGCAGGATGCTGGGCGGATGAGCCAGAGAAGTGGAAGACACCCCTCCATCCTTGCTGGTGATGCTCTGCTGCCAGAAGGGACCTTTGCTCTCCCATTTGGGTCACTGGTGCAGAAAGGGCTGCACTCTCCTCCCTGGAGCTGGCTCCTTCTGTCCCCGTGTGTGTAGCTTTGTCCTCCCCACACCACTGAGAGCCAGGTGTGGGCTCTGCAGCACCCGGATTCGTTCTGGTATCCTTCGTTAGACACTGTTTGTTCATGCTGCATTTTTCTTTTTGCTGGCTTGCTTGGACACGCACTGGTACATTCACAGTGCTCAGGCAGTAACGTGAGTCTCTTTCCCATTAGGAAAGGGGCCAGGATTTGGGGGAGCTGGGAGGGCGGCTTAAGTAGTAGTTTCTGAGATATTTCCTTCTGCCGCCACACCCTGCATGAAAGAGCAATATCCGCGGCTTCAGCTGCTATCGCAAGGCTCTGAACGTCTCTCTTTTAATATAGATTGGTATCATTTTGCATTTTAAAGTAAAAACACGCTGCAAGCTGCAGACAGCTGTCGGTTGGCAGCTTTGTTTGAACATCTGGCATTGCTGGGCTGCTGTTCAGCGCAATCTAACTATGGGATTCATAAAGATTATAATCCGGGCTTTCAGATTCTCAACAGCCGCCTCGCAAAGAAAGATGGGGGGAGAGAGAAAAAACCCAGAGGGGAGGTGGCTGCAGGGTCCTTGGCGTTCAGCAGGTTGTGGCGTGGTTGGTCCCCTCCTGGGTGCAGAGAGGTGGATGGGCTTGCTGTGTGTCGCCCCGGCTGCCCGCAGGTGCTGATGGGCTGCTTCCAGCCTGCAAAGCGCCGGGCACTGGGGAGCTGTAGAAGTGTGAAGTTCTGTTTTTGGTTTTTTCCTCCTCTTCCTCCCTTTTTTTTATTTTTTTCCAGCTTGTGTGCTGAATCCGGTTGAGTCTCATACTCCCCTGGGTGGTGTCTGGTGCTGGCGAGCTGGAGCAGCAGATTCTGCTGAGGCTTTTGGTAGATGTTTGTAACAGTTGTCTGCAGCAGCAGGACTTGGTTTCTTTCCCTTTAAAGTAAGTGATGGAGGAGCCAAGGCTCAGAGTAAACATCTCAGCCCGTCAAAACCTAGTTTCCAAGAGAAATGGAGTCCCCTTTTCCTTGAAGCAGCCAAAAGGTTGAGATAGCCACCTTTGTGAGCCCCATCCATCCCTCTGTGAGTCAGGCACTTTCCTTGGCACCTCTGAGAATTGAGCAGCCTCTAAGCCCCCAACGGGTTGTATAAATCTTGTTAGTTGATCTGCATTTTTGCAAAGCTCTTTGAATCCAGCCTATTGACGCATAAGTCACCTTGACTTTCTACAAGGCTTTGACTCCCAACTCACTTTCAGGCTCCATTTGTCAGTTGGAGGTGCACAAAAAAAGTCCCCCCTTATCTTTATTAGAAAGAAAAAAAAGAAAAGGCTGCCTGGAGAAATGTAGCTGCACTCTAGTTGGTGCAAGCCAATAACAGAGGTGCATATAAACCTGTTCTGCCCTTGTTTGTGTTGATTTAACTTACCAGTACAAATTAAAATAGCCTTGAGCGGTTGGAAGTTTAACTAGATCAGTTGGAAGGGCAGGGGGGAAACAAAATCATGGCCTTTAAATCAAAGCAGGGTTTTCTTTCTAGTGCTGCCTGAGTCTGGAGAGGGGCTTTGTGCTGCCTGCACAGCCAGACCCTTTGTCTTCAGGTCACCAAATGAGATGGTGATGGGGTATGTGGCTGCAGGTCTTTGCCTTTGCATTTACTGGTGCATGTGGGTATTGCTGTGGCTGCTCTGTTCCTTGGTGGTATGAAATCTCCCCAACACCTGCTTGTGCATTCACATCCTCAAGCCAGGCTCCCTCCAAAATTATGGGGGTAGGAAGCTGAAGGGGCTGTTGTTCTGAACTCAGGTCTTCCCATGGCAGGGCTGAGCCATGGAGGGTGTGGAGCAGAGGTCTTTGGGCAGGGGAAAGTCAGCTCAGCCTGCTGTGGGAGGAAGGGTGGAAGAGGCTGGCTGTGTTTCACCTCTGCAGGGAGAAGGCTCTGAGATCACACAGGCCAGCTGGATCTTGAATCCAAGATGTTTATTTGGAAGAGGGAGTGAGGGTTTCTCAATTTTGCAGGGGCTGCAGATGGGGGTAGGTTTGCTGCCAGGCGGTGGGAGTGGGTCTTTGCAGGATGGCTGCTTTTGAAGGCAAAGCATCCTGCCAGCCACAGTTTGGGGACAACTGAGATTGCAGCATGTTGGGAAGATCTGGGGATTCAACAGAGCTAGATGAGGCTGGGATTGGGGGTGCTGCCAAAGCATGTTCATTTCTTTGTGGGGTTTATGGAAGGAGCGACTCACAGATGATATGTCAGAGCAACGGGGCTTGTGTGAGGAGCCGGAGTTTGTGATACAATTGAGTCAGCAATGAACAACCTCCCATTGCTGCCCAGACTGCCACCACTGGAGCTGGCAGAACACTTTGAGAGCCAGTTCAGGGAGATGATCCAGTTGAAGAGTCTGATCTTTGTGCTGCCTTAATTTCTCAGCTGAATCAGTGGTCAGGAAGGGGGAGATGAATGAAACCAGACAGAAGAGGGAGGAAATGAGGTTAGGGCCCCTGCAGCATCCATGTAAATTGACTGAAACCTTCAAGAAACCACACAGTCTCCTTGCTTTAGAGTGCACTGAAGATGGAAAGGGCAGGACTTCTTATGTAACCTCTTAGGCCCCCACAAATGTCAAGTAGGGTGAATCCCAATCAGTGTAGTTTCAGGGCCCAGATTTCATCTTCTGGCATGGCAGGGAGGAAGCACAAGGCAGCGTTGGTCATTGGGGCCAGATGTGCTCCAGGTATTGGTGTCAGTCTGAGGTCCCAAGTGGCTGGAAATGGTTGCTCAAGACACTTGCATCTGGGTGCCTGAAACTTTGTGGGATGTCGCAAACCCCTGTGCTTTCCCGGAGTGCCCTGGTGCTCTGGAGCCAGTTGCTCAAAGGGCATTTGGTGCTGGGTCGTGCTGGGCAGGGTGAGCTTGTGCTGGAGCCTGCAGCCAGAGCCCCGTGCCAGAGATGGCTCAGCATCAGGGTGAAACCAAGCACTGATATATAAGCAGCCCCAAACTAGGGTATTTCCTGCCTAAGACTGAAAGGGGTGGGGAAAAGAGCTCCTCCATCACATCCCTGATGGTGGAGAAGGTGCAGACCTTGTCCTTCATAAACATGGATCTGAGCCTTGTGGCTGCTCCTGGCTCTCTGTGCTTCCAGGCAAAGGCAGCCTGGACAGTCCTCCCTCCTGCAAGCTGGCCAGGGACTGCCACTGGCCATGTTTGCACCCAGGCCTGGGTGGGATCTCCTCTCCCCCCCTTCCCAGCAGAGAGCAAAGAGATTCCTTGAGCTCCTTGGTGCCTTGAGGGCCTGGTCGTGCCTGCAGCCCCAGCCGCTCTCAGAGCTGGTCCCTCTGTCTTGCTCCTGCACCGCCCAAAAGCATCTGCTGTCCCTGAGCTGCTGAGACACAGTGCGGGAGCGTGCTTTCCCTGTCCAGGTGTCTCCTGGCAGATCCAGGGCAGGAGGCAGCTGTGCCAGCCAAAAGCATGGGCATTACCAAGGCTCATGTTTGTCCTGTGGATCCTGCGGCATCAGTTGGGACTCGCCTGTCTGCACACTTGACATGCAGACCAGCTCCTCCAGCCCCATATTCATCTTCCAGGTGTGTTTCCAGCCTCCCCATGAGTGAGTCTTGAGCCCCAGGTCTAGCAGATGTGGTTCACTCTGCTTTCACCACCTCTTGCTGTGCTTTGCATGGGGGCAGCTTGTCTGACACTGGCCCATAATCAGCACAGCCTCCAACATGCTGCAAAAGTGGCTTTGGTGTTTGGGGTCCCTCTGTTTCAGGGGCACATCACCCATACTGGGCACCAGACATCAGGAAGACTCCTGCCTTCAGGACTTGAATGGTTGCTGGCACAGAGGGGTTGCTTCTGTAGCCGCTAGCCTCATCTCCTTGCTTCTGAATCTCATTTATCCCCCCTTTCCCCTCGAAGTAGATCTTCACCCCTACTTGGAGGACATGGAAAGCAGTGGCAGCTGGGCCATGGCTTGTAGTTGAGGTCTGAAAACCACGGGTAGAGCCCCAGCCTCCTTCCCTCACTTGTGCAAGAGGCACAGCCACAAGTAATCGCCACAGCAATGGGGAGCAGGGTGGGACACACAGGGCTGGGGAGGCAAATTAACATCCTCAAGGTCCTTCTGAAGGTTGCTTTCTGACAGAGAATAGGTCCCCGTTTCCTGGCCTCCAGAAATCCTGCTGCTGGCCCCACACAACACAATGCCTTGTATTTTCCTTTTGCTAACGAGTTC